TGGCAGAGCTAACCTGCGAGCGGATGGAGTTTAAAGTCATCTCCACAAACTCGTGAAGGTCGCACTCATTGGCAGAAACGAAAGCTGCGGGGCTTGCAGGTGTTGTGACTATTGAAACTCAGCACCGCAGAGTTGGAATGCCCGTACGAAAGCTGAACTGTGCTGATATGTGATGCTTCTCAAAACGGAAATGTGGCGTTTTCACGGCCGACTGAAGCGGACTTGCCGGATGCGATGCTAGCCCGAGCTGGAAATCCGGGGAGCGTGTGTCTCTACCGGTGATCCACACGCAGGGCGGAAGAGCTTCGTTGCGTGAGACTAGGTCTATGGAGGTGGTCAGTGATTGGTTTCCCTTTACTATGGTGGCTCAATCCCCGAACCGAGGGACACGAAAGCATCCTGTAGTTTTAAGGACTCGGTTGCAGAATTTTCAAGGGCCCAATGTGTCAGGAGTTCCGCGGTATTGGAATCATTCGAGGCCTCGTCTTGACAATCATGTCCTACAACGGACGCTGGTGGGATAGAGAGGCAGCCATCTTTGGTTGGGTTCGATTGAATAATTAGGAATCTAGACTAGCAGCGTTGTCTCATTTCAAACCTCTCGTTAACTCATGTCAGTTATCGTACAGGATGCATTTTGCTTGCAAACTTTCTCCAAAGATTTTGTGGAACACCAACGCCCAGGTGATCATATGAGGACTAACTTCAAGGAGCTCCTCATCGGCTGTTACTCACTCGCGCCTCGGCGTAGGCTTGGCATTTTTCTAAATGCTGTGTCCTACATCGCGTCCGACATCCTCATGGAAACCCATTCCATTACGAATCCGACTCTCAACCTCGACGACGCGCTTAGGAAGCATGAAGCCCAATCCGAAAAATACGAAGAACGCCCACTTCCAGCGGAATGGGTTGAAGGTGACACTGAAGGCGAACCACCAGATGAGCTCGAGATAAGTGAAGAAGTCGAAAGCACCGGTAGGCGACGCAGATTTCAGGAGTTTGGTCATTTCGATCCAGGCCTTCATCCAGAAGGGATGAGGTCTTGTCAACGGATCAATGAGGAACATCAGAAGGATTCTGGTGTAGATGCCAATGTGCCAATTTCCGACTGTGCCGATAGCAGCAACGTATGTGCTGTAGATCGTTAGAGCCAAGTTCATTTGCAGGAGCCACAAGGAGAATGCTTACCAGTTGATAGCAGAGATGGACGGATGATTTGGAGGGAAAGTCTGAATATACCAGTTGGGGGGCGAGTACGGCTCATTGAAGCAGTCATCAGGCAAGAACTCCAGCGACGGGCGCTTGAATCCGGTGGCCATGACGATAATATCGGCTGGAATGACCTGTCTTCTGCCAGGGCCGCCCTTAGGTACACCTTGAGCGCGTCTGTTGACGATGACACCTTCCGCCGTAAAGCCCTCGATATCGCAGCGAACCCACTCGGCGTGACCAGATCGGATAGTCTCCATGACATGGCTGTTCACCATTGGCGTGTCCATATAAATGCCCTTGTCGTACGGTGCGATGTCTTGCAGGTCTCGGTAGAAGAATTTACGAAGGAGAGTCTCCGGGATCCAAGAGAGACGAGTCTCTTGACCGAGAATGTTCATAGCAAGAAGCATGTTCACGATGGGATTGCGGGGGATAATCCACTTGTCGCTGCGAGACAGAATGGAAGTCTTCTCGGCTTCCTCATCCACAGCAAACTCCAAAGCCTCAACGGCGCTGGCACCGCCTCCGATGACGACGAGCTTCTTGCCCTTGGCGTTCTTACTGTGATCTGGTTAGCAAGCTTGTTTGCAGCTGAAGGTGGGGGCAGTGCATACCCAGTAAGCTGGCTGGAGTGATAGATATTGCCCTTGAACTTCTCCATGCCCGGGAGCTGGGGCATCTTAGGTTCACCGCAAGTACCGACAGCGGCTATGACGCCTTCGAAATGGCCATTGGCGGTGTTGTTGACGACCCATCTGCCCTTTTCATCTTGGTAGACCTTTTCCACGGGTGTGTTGAACTTGGTGCGTGTCTCGAGTCCATATTTCTGCCAAAGCTGCTTCACCTGGCTCAGGATCTGCTGTCTGTCGGGATACCCGCGTTCCCATTTGACTGAAGGGTGGAAGCGGAACATCATGGAGTGGATTTGAAGACTGGACGAGTTATTCACTTTCTGCGTGAATCCTTAGTTACCAAGCATGGGGATGGGGATGTTGGGCCTCATCGGGCGACGTACACTCCAGATACCACCGAGGTTCTCACGGCCGCCGGCCTCGAAAATAACCACGTCGAAACCATGGCCAATGCAGTGCGCGGCGGAAGTAACACCAGTGATACCAGCTCCAATGACGGCAACCTTGGGTCGACTGAGGCGAGTGCTGGGCTCGGGAGGAGTGGGCGAGAAGATCTTATCGGCGAACCATTGCCATATCTGGAAGACGAAGAGGAAGGGGTGGAAGAAGGGATTCTCTACACGAGATTCAGACGGCATCGTGGCGGGTAGGCCGCAAGCCTTGGACGAAGTCGGTGATGTAGGGGGAGCAGCTGTACAGCAATTGGTACAGCTGGGTGTGTGTTTGGAGTGAAGCAAAAGGTGTTGATCACGATGAACCACGATGTGAAGGAAGGGAGAGGGCACGAAGCTGTATTAAACCCTACGTTTGTTGAACGGAGTAGGTACTTTCCGCACTACTTACTTTTTGCTACCTATGAATGAGCGATGAGCCTAGGGAGCTCCGGGAGCTCTGGGCAGGTGGCTGGCATGTGAGCTCTTCTTCCCATTTCCCCTGGTGCTAGTACTGCCGCTGCCGCTGCTGCTGGTAGGCGGTTAGTACGTAGGTAGTTGCCGGCAACCTAAGGTGAGCCTGCCTGTGAAGTTAGGTGCGACTGAGACGACCGGCGAACAGGCCCACCCGATTATCGACGATTGACGTCACCAAGAACGCTAGGGAACCCATTGAAACACCCGCATTGAAGCATGTGAAGACGAGGGTTTGGCCCAGTCTCGCCAACTGTCTCCCTAATTGGACACGAATGGGGACAGTTCAGGGGGGGGGGCTCGGGCCGTTGACTGGTCCAGTCGTTGGGAAAACCACGCAGTATTTCCTCCGGAATAAAAGGACGACCCAATGCCATGACAGAAACTCTGTGTACGAAGTATACCTTACAGATACAGCGTCTGTGTGAAGGGTAAAGATGAAGAGAAATTGACATGGGCACCAAGGCCGGACTGGCTCAACATGGCAGGGCCTTGGTGCATAGTCCGAGAACCAAGGTCTCGGCCAGTGAAGCTGGTTGGGCCGTCGTGGCAGTCTAGAGCTAAAGAGGCATTTTTTCATCGGGAATTTTGGAGATCATTGGCCGATCGGATGCCCTTCCGCCTTTTCCCGGTATGCCTTAGCGCTGCCAGCCTGGTTCAGCACCGCCAAACAGTTGAAAAATCCAGGAACACGCTTGAAGCGCACCTCACACACAACACACAGACACGAACACGATGGGGTGATTCATTCCTTTGTAAAGTTGGATGAACCGAAAATGAATTCGTTCCTAGGACCTCGGCACAGCTTTCTCTGGTGGCCGATGCTATTGCTGCTGCTGCTGCTGCTGCTGCTTCGTGTATATTGTGGGTATCTCCGTCTATCGCTTGCCTCTGTCGCGTCTGCCCGCCTCCAACATCTTGGCCTTCTTCTGGAATCTCTCGCCCATCTCGGCTTGCCCGCTGCCCCTTGGCCCGTCCGCGGTGTCTCGGCCGCGCTTCCGGCTCTTGTCGAGGATGTCACGGCTGCTGCCGCCACCGCTCTTGCGCGCCGTGAGTCTGTTGATTCGGTCGACGCCTTCGCCGAGGTCTCTCCACTCCTCACCACCGAATTGCATACGCTTGCCGTTGCCGGTGCGCATAGCCTCTTCCTTCTTTGCCTTCTTGCTCGACGTGGGAAGACGGGTGAAATTGGCTTCTTCGTATTCGCGACGCTCGTCTTCCGTCTTGCGGTCCGCGGCCGTCTTCATCCTGCGACCACCATTGACGATAGTTGTTCCGATACTGGGCTCGGCGATGGGGGCAGTCGACAGCTCGTGCTCGATGAACTCGTCCATGGTGTGAGACTTGAGTGGGCGGCGATCAGACTTCTCCTTGCGCTCAGAGGGCATAATAGTAGGCGCAATTCTCGGGGGTCGGTAAACACCATTCTTCGCAGCGGTTGCAACGGCAGCAGAGGCAGCAGCGGGTCTGACAAAGGCATCTGGCCGAGCTTGAAGGTGGGCTGCCTTCATCTCCTCCTCCTCCTCCTCGTCGCTGCCAGTTTCTCCGTCGGAAGCAGAGTCGTCGGAGTCTTCAGAGCCTGCACCTTGTGCGGCCTTGACTGCTTGGGCGTTCCGTTCGGCGTCGTCGGCGGCGCGAAGAATCTTCTCGATCTGGTAACGCAGCTTGTCTTCAAGGGGCCGGACACCCTTCTCGAGGTACAGTCGGAGTTCGACCAGCTTCCTGACAACCGTCTCCATAGTCTCGTCGGCACTGTCATCGTCGCTTGATTGCTTCTTGGCGTTGCGCAACTTTAGAAGGATCAAAAAGACAAGGTTTTGCAGGTAGGAGGCAAGAAGCTCGTTCTTGGTATCGAGAAGTGATATGCCATTTTGAGGCGGCGCAATTGAGCCCTTTGGTGCTGCGTCGAGTGATGTCGTCAATGAATGCGTCAAAGAGTCCAGCAATGCTGGAAGGGTGCTTGGTGCCGCCATTCTAAACCTGGCGATACTGTATGTTGTTTGTTAAAAAAACTTGGGATCGCAACAGACCAAGAGCGCGGTGCAGGAATTTTTTTTTGCAACCGTCAAACTGATCTGCGCTATTGCGGGGACCGGTGCATCGGATCTTGTGGATCCCGACCACCGGTCTCCAATTCCATTTGGATGTTTCCAAGCTGGACGGGCACCCACGCGTACCACGGTACCTTAGGCCTCTGGCACTGGGCAGTCGCGAAACCCCGGACAGACAATGTTCCGGCTGGTCCAATACGATGGACGGTACCTACGGAGTACGTGTACGCTTCGAAAGCTGGACTGTAGGGGTACGTGGTGACTAAGCCATATTTGGGACAGTTGTTCGAGAGGCAGCAGGAGCTCCTGTAAATGAGATACGAAGCTCCCGGACCTGACACAACAAAGGCAATTGGCCATCTGTCCACCACAAAGCAACTCTGCTTCTTGCACAAACACCACCGCGAGCTTCCCGTGCTCTTGACGAACCAACTTTACCGCCATCATCCAGGTGCAGACGGAACGCGGATGATCCACCGGCTATAAGCCGCTTTGCGCTACCTGGACCTTACCGAGAACCAAGGGTACGTAATCGCGGTCCATCCATCGGGGTAGCTATTACCATCAGTTTCATGTTTCACGCTACCTTGCCTCTGGCTACCATCTTCTCTTTCGCAAAGTATTAAGACTGATCGCAACATTTGGGCAGAGCTCTAACAACTCGACACGATGCAACTACGAGACATGGCGCCTTCGTCGGCGTTCGTGGCCTCTTTGCTGGCTATTCCACAGCTCGCTTCCGCCTTCTACTTGCCAGGTGTTGCGCCCACCTCTTACAAGAAGGGCGACGTTGTTCCCCTCTATGTGAACAGCATCAAGCCGGTCGCCGCCCCCTCCGATTCCCGATTACACTCAATTGTTTCCTACGACTATTACCACCCTGGCTTCAAATTCTGCGAGCCCGAACCTCGTCCCGAGTATGTGTCGGAGAGCCTGGGCAGTATTCTCTTTGGAGATCGCATCATGACGTCGCCTTTCGAGCTGCGCATGAAGAACAACGAGAAGTGCAAGCCGCTTTGCATCCAGAAATATCCTCCGGCGGCCGTCGGTTTCGTCAAGCGCCGCATCGAGCAGGGCTACAGCTTGAACTGGCTTGTGGACGGCCTGCCTGCCGGACAGCAGATCTACGATGATTTCACGAACACGACTTTTTACAACCCTGGATTCTTGATGGGCGGCGAGGACGAGAACGGCAATGTCATCTTCAACAACCACTACGACATCAACGTCGAATACCACGCCGTCAACGGCGATCAGTCGCAGCTGCGCGTCGTTGGTGTCGTTGTCGAGCCGAGCTCGCGTGCCTACCCCGGTCTGCTCGACTGCAATAACCAGATGGAGCCCATCATCTTCGAGGAAGACGGCACTGAGAAGGAGGTCAAGTTCTCGTACTCGGTGTTCTGGATCGAGTCCAAGACAGCTTGGGCTACCCGTTGGGACAAGTACCTGCACGTATTCGATCCCAAGATCCACTGGTTCTGGCTCGTTGACACCGCAATTATCGTCATCATTCTGATCCTGACGGTCATGTCCATTCTTGTCAGAGCTCTGAAGAAGGACATCGCGAGATACAACCGCCTTGACCAGATCAACTTGGATGACCTCTCTGGCACTTCGGCGCTCGAAGATGGCGTACAGGAGGATTCGGGATGGAAGCTAGTCCACGGAGACGTCTTCCGCAACCCTTCGAACCCTCTTCTGCTCTCGGTCCTGCTCGGAAACGGTGTTCAGCTTTTTGTCATGACGGGCTTCACCATCTGCTTCGCCCTCCTCGGCTTTTTGTCGCCCTCTAACCGTGGATCCCTCGGAACAATCATCCTGCTTCTTTACACTATCTTGGGCTTTGTGGGCGGTTACATCTCTGCGAGAACGTACAAGTCGTTGCAGGGCGAGAAGTGGAAGATGAACATCGCGCTGACTCCGATCTTGGTGCCGAGCATCGTATTCGGTGCCTTCTTTTTCCTCGATCTCTTCCTCTGGGCGAAGCAATCTTCCGGTGCCGTGCCCTTCACCACCATGCTGGTCATCATTGCCATCTGGTTCATCCTGTCGGTGCCACTGTCGTTCGCCGGATCCTGGATGGGTTTCCGCGCATCTCCCGTTGAGGCCCCTGTCAAGACCAACCAAATTCCTCGCCAGATCCCTCCTGCCACCTCCTATCTGAGACCGATTCCGAGCATGCTTATTGTCGGTCTCTTGCCCTTTGGCGCCATCTTTGTCGAACTCTACTTCATTATGAGCTCCGTCTGGTTCAGCCGTATCTATTACATGTTTGGTTTCCTGTTCCTCTCGTACGGCCTCATGATCGTCACGACTGCTTCCGTCACCATTCTCATGGTGTACTTCCTGCTCTGCGCCGAAAACTACAACTGGCAGTGGCGATCATTCCTTGCTGCGGGCATGAGCGGTGGCTACATTTTCCTCAACTGCCTTTTGTACCTGTTCACCAAGCTGAACCTGAGTAACCTGGCCGGTACCGTCCTCTACGTCGGCTACAGTGCTTTGATCTCGTTCTTGTTCTTCATTCTTACTGGTACGCTTGTTTCCACCCCCCACCTTTGACTTATACTAACGTTGCTTCGCAGGGTCCATTGGCTACTTCGCAAGTTGGTGGTTCGTCAGGAAGATTTACGCCTCCATTAAGATTGATTAAACAGCATTGCATTCGGGCGTTAATGTGAGGCGACGGGTTCATGCTATTGTATCAACGTTTTTGTACGAATACTCACTCTCGTCCCCCGAGCGTTGCATTATAGTATTGATGACACGCTTTGGCCTAGGAGCAGAGCGTGGTTGGTCATGAGGTTCCAAAAAATGATATTCTTGTTAGATGGTAGACGGCAGGGATTGGTAGACGGGAGCGAGCTGCCTCCAGCTTTTAGCAAAACAACAGCGCATGTACAGTTCTCTTCATTTGGTTCGTCTTGTGTGAATTACATTGTACGATACCTCCCGTCAAGTGGCTCGTTAGCTACTCGTCGTCGTCGTCATCGTCCATGAGACTCGTAAACTGGAACTGCTTGCTCTTGCCAGCCGATGAGGCGCCAGCGCCAGCGCCAGCAGCCACACTGTCGCGCCGGTACGCCTCCTGCTGCTCGCGGCGAATCTTCTCCATCTTCTCCGCGTACTCCCGGTTCTTCCTCTCAATCTCGGCCTTCTCCTGCTCCTCGCGGACTTTGCGCTCCTCCTCCTCTTTTCGCTTCGCCTCGGCAATCTGCTGCGGATCGTAGCCGCGGGGATCAGTGCCCGAGTCCGCAAGATTCTGGTACATGGCCATGGCGCCACCGCGGATCATGCCCTCGCTGGGCCAAGGCACGAACGTCGCGTTGAAGTGGGGGTTGAGATGGTTGCGCAGGCCGTCAGGCAGCGATGTCGCGGTCGTTTGCTGCGTTCCTGGAAGGAGGTCCTGCGTGCCGCCGACAGGGCTGCCGTTTGCGCCGCCCGAGGGGCCTGGAGTCTGGCTCTGGCTGGGTGTCGGGGCGGCGCTTACGGGCTGGCTCTGGAGGCCGTTTGCGCCGGGGGTGTTTGGGTTGGTGGTCATGCTTGCGTTCGGGTCTGGGCCGGGGGAGCCTCCGCCGGCGGTGAGGCCGCCGTTGGTGAGGGCGGCGGGCGGGAGTGTGGTTTTGCTGATTCGGCGGGCATAGTTGAGGAGCTCGTCGTACTTCACGGCGTAGTTGGGACCGTCAGGGTGCACGGTGATTTGGGTCGTAGTGATGTCCTTGCGTGTTGTTGCTAGGCTGGAAAGGGTCTCTCTGATCTGCGTGTCGAGGGATGTCGTCGTTGCTCGGAGTTGCTGCAGGCGAAGGTTGTTATTTTGATGGATTTGAACTGTGATTGTGTGGTTAGCTTGGTCGCCTGGCAGGTTGTGTCGGAGGTAAGCTTACCCTCGTCAAGGCCTTTTGTGAGGTCATGATCTGCTTCGTGAAGGTCCAATGCCTGCTTAGCGTGAGGATGATATTTGGACACCGACTCAATCAGAACCGCAAGAGCCTTCTCAACGCGCTCGAAGCGCGCGTCAATAATCTTGTCCATGGTCGTGGTCGAAAGTTGTGGATCGGCCGAGATCGCTGGCCGAGCTGGTGGTGTGAAGGAGAGGATTTGGGTGCAAGGCTGAATTGAGCTCCGCTAGACCGTACTGTGGGTCCACCAGATGCTGCACGCCCATTGGCTCCAGCTTTCAATGTTCGCTCTTAGCCTGTAGCCTGAGGCGCATTGGAAATCCGGCCGGCTTTTCCCGCTAAGAAACTCGCGCAACATCACCATTCTTTCACGACCTCACTCTTTTGCATCTGCAATTGAATACCCCACAGTTCGTTCGCACGACCGCCACATTCAAGATGCCTTCTCCCGTAAGTCGAATTGCTCCCTGGGCTCCCACGCTCTTGCTCTACACTTCTGAGACCACTCAGACATGACAAAACACTGACAAGAGTTGCAATGCAGGCCCGCGTCGGTACTTTGTACCCTGCCTTCCGCAGCAAGTTCGGCCCCAAGTACGTTTTACGATATTCCTACGATCGATTCCTCTCGGCTACGGCTCTTCAAATGCCTTTGAACTCTCGAGACTGCGAGACAGACTTCGCACGACGAGCGAAGGACCGACAGAATAGTGGGCTGATTGACTGAATCTAGGTACAACACGATTCCCAACGTTGGTGGCTGGACCATTGCCTCCGTCGTTAAGCTGTGAGTTGCCCTTTAAACTCTTTGTTCGGCCTATGGATACCACGATCCCGACCCTCGGCCCAAGAAGTCCATACTACCATTACCACTGTTCCGCCGACATGAGGTTACAAACGATGACATGAGGCGCGGAGAGATACCGGATGCCGCCTCAAGATGGAACCGAACACAGTTGGAAAGCTCGGGATGGATTGACTGACCTCTTGGCATAGTGGAACCCGCGCTGCTGGTTTCGGCGCTGCCGCCGGTGTTGCCGCCCTCTTCTACACTTCCGGCATCCCGAGAATCCAGAACGACATCCTTGTTGTAAGGCGGACTGCATCTCCGAAGTGGACTTACTGATGACTGACACTCTCTATAGAAGATCCCCATCGTTGGCCCCAAGTTCCTCAAGGAGGTCCCCCCTGCGTCTGACAACGTGAGGCCCCCTCGAGATCGTAAACTGCCAAGATGGCATGCTAACATGAGACAATTAGCCATTCTAAATGCCTTGTATGACTCAGCTGTGCTTTTCTAATACTGAAAATGTGGTGAGCATGGTTGGATGAGGTGTTGGGATGGAGGGATGCCCACCCTTCGGGGCTTGTATAAAAGATACAATAGACTCTTTGACTTTAGTTGATGTGCTTGAATAAGGCAGTGATCTGAAAACTGAGTAAACCTAACTCCCCTATGCGGTATAATTGCTACGTATATATCAGAACACGCCATTGCTAAAAGCATTTTTGTCAAGGAGTTGAAATGCCCCTTTCTTGAGCCAGTAGCTTGAGTAGAAGGCCGTGCGCAAACAGTGCGAGGACGCGTAAGTGCTGCATCTTCGCCAATTGATGAACTGTTCACTTTCTTCCGCCTTACTTGTCTGTGTAAGAGATCGTTTTGCTGCTGCTGCCAACACTCATTGTTTTCCCTGGTCGAGACACATTTCCCTGTTTTCCGACGCTCCTTTCAGTTCATTTCCTTTCTTCCCTCTTTGTCCATCTTGAGTGATTACATTCCAACAATACCGACCAAAACCCTCGGCCAATCACCTCAATCTCATCTGCCCTTTGGGCATCTCACATCGAAGATGAAGGCCGTCGAAGCCTTTGTCGACGGACTCAACATCCTGTCCGTCGTCGTTCTCTACTCTCTGCTATGGCTCATCACTCCCAAAATGCCCAATCCCGACCCTTCGGGTCCCAAGACAAACAAGATTTACGATGTGCTCATGCGCGTGTCGTACATCATCATCTTCATATTTGGCTGGATCTGGTGCAGCAATGTCATGGCCCAAGTCGACAAGCCATACCTGGTGAGCTCAATCTTCATATGTCGGATCGATATCATTACAACATACTAACAGTAAATAGGATGAGATCTTTCACATTCCTCAAGCCCAGAAGTTCTGTCAGGGAAGATGGGACGAGTGGGATGACAAGATTACGACCCCTCCCGGTTTGTAAGTCGCCATTTTCATTGAATCCATCAACCATGCAGCTAACGAATCTTCAGGTATATTCTATCCAAGTACTACCTACAAGTGATGATGAGACCCGACTGCACCGTCCTCGATCTCCGCGGCGTCAACATCATCGCCGTCCTCGGAGTCGGCATCCTCGCAACTCACTGCCGCCATCTGCTCGAGACTCGCCGCCCCAACGCCAAATCCCCAGCACCCCCAGCAGTGCTCTCCTTTCACTCGATTCACCTGGGCTGGAACATTGCCCTCTTTCCCGTTCTCTTCTTCTTCTCGGGTCTGTATTACACCGATGTCGTCTCCACCCTGTCGGTCCTTGTGGCCTACTATCACCACCTCCACCGCGTTCGTGAGGAGCGCAGTTCCTTCCTGAGTGACTGGACCACCATCGTCCTCGGCGTCTTGACCCTTGTCATGAGACAGACTAACGTCTTTTGGGTGGTCGTGTACATGGGCGGCTTGGAAGCCGTCGCCGCTGTCAAGGCTCTTCGTCCTGACCCAGTAGCTAAGCCCAGCATGAAGACACTCGGCAAGGTTGTGAAGTTCTATGCGTGGAGATATTCAGTCGGAGACGTCCACGATCCGCCTCTCAACACTGCTTGGCCAGATGGTATGTCGACCGAAACACGTCTGTAAGGGATTCTACTGACAAAGCCAGACTTATTCTTCTCCGCCCTAAGCATCGGCGTCGCAGCCCTGGCTAACCCTCTTCGCGTACTGAAGAAGGTCTATCCACACATCACCATCATGGCGCTCTTCGCCGGCTTTGTTGCCTGGAATGGCGGCGTCGTGCTGGGTATATTCCACTACTCAACTCTCGTAAACACAAGGACTAACCATTGTCAGGAGACAAATCCAACCATGTCGCAACAATTCACCTCGCTCAAATGCTCTACATCTGGCCTCTCTTCGCCTTCTTTTCTTTCCCCCTCTTCCTACCTTCCGCCATCGGGGTCCTCCGTTTCGTTCACGGTCTCTACCGTACCACCTTCAAGACAAGCACAGCCAAGCCCACAGACTCCGATAGCAGCACACACGGCCGCAAGCACGCTCTCAGCGGACCTCCTCAAGGCAGCTCTTCAAAGAAACAGAAACTCCAAAATCAAGACTCTACCGAGCAACTCGCCTCAGAAACCAACCCCTCAACCTCCCTCATTCTCACCGCCCTCCAGAAACTCATCGGATCCAAACTCTACCACCTCCTCCTAACACCGGCGCTCCTCCTCCTGACCCTCCTCGTCGTCAGGTTCAACACCATCATCCACCCCTTCACCCTCGCAGACAACAGACACTATATGTTCTACATCTTCCGCTACACGATCCGCCGCCCGGGCCTGTTCCGCTACTACCTCATCATTCCCTACACACTCGCCCGCTGGCTATGCTGGGACGCCCTCGCCGGCTGCAGCCAGGGCGGGTTCCTCTCGGACCACACCGCAGATTGCTCGGGTCGGTACACCGCGCTCCGTCCCGGACCCTGGCAGAACAAGCCATTTAGTACCGCAACCCCGTACCGCGAAGAAAAGCCCCCTGCCACAGAGCCTCTGGACGGCTCCGAGGCCACCGCAATCGCAGAAGGAAAAGAGGCCAAGGACCGTCACAACCCTTACGCCATCATTACACTCGCGGACCAGACATCCTACACCACAGAGCCCACTGCCTCATCGACCGCAATCCTCCTGCTCCTCGCAACGACCCTCTCGCTCATGACGGCGCCCCTCGTCGAGCCGCGCTACTTCATCCTCCCATGGGTCTTCTGGCGCATC